TCTAGATATGCTAAAGTTTTTAAAAATAAATTACAAATTCCCAAACATATTAGCTGTCCATGGGACCAAGGTTTTCTAACAGTATTAAGTAGAATAAGCAACATACGTGATTTGGTTTTCAGGTCCCATGGACACGGAGAGTCTAAATAATAACATAAGCCAGACCAATACTGACTTTGACAACCTCCCTTTTAAAATCATTCCCTTTATCCAGTTATACCCCAAAAGCCCAATACCTTCATGCTTTTCAGACTAATCTCTCAAGTTGTACAATGCATAAGTAAATGTAATCTAATAAGCCAATGCTAGCAGTAAATTCTAAGTTCTATTGAGCATTTAATATGTGCCAGGCCCTTTAATTTGTGCCACACACTTTACACACATTTCATCCTCACAAATTTCTAAGATGTAGGTAATTTTATTATCCCCATGTTAAAAAAACAAAAAGGAAAAGCAGGCATTACTCAGTTTTAAATACAACAAATTCTCACTTAATGTCATGAGTAGGTTCTTGGAAACTGCAACTTTAAGGGAAACAATGTACAGCAGGCCCTTGAAAAAGCATTTTCTTTAGTACTATTGTTTCATTACAACACTGATGAGAAAAAAACAAATTGATTTCATCATACATCATTTCATTTAAGTTGCAGTTTCGAAGAACCTATCAATGATATTATATGAAGACCTACTATAACTCTTAAAAATGATATATGGTTACAAAATGTTGGTTACAGGACCCATCTCCCAAACACTCCTAAGCTACACATACAAGTTATACTATTTCAAGTAACACAAAAAATTATCATTTCTTTATATAATTTGGAAATTATTATTATTATTTTTTTTTTTTGAGTTGGAGTCTCACTCTGTCTCCCAGACTGGAGTGCAGTGGCCGCTCCCAGACACCGCAGCCTCGACCTGCTGGGCTCCAACAATCCTTCCACCTCAGCTTTCCGAGTAGCTGGAACTACAGGCACGCGCTACCACACCCAGGTAATTTTTTGATTTATTGTAGAGATGAGGTCTCGCCAAGTTGCCCAGGCGGATCTCGAACCCGCAGGCTCAGGCAATCCACTCACCTCAGCCTCCCAAAGTCACGGGATTACAGGCTGAGCCACCAAGCCCGGCTGGAGATTATTTTTTAAAGGGTATAGTCAACATTATAATCGTATCTTTAAAAAAAAAAAAGAAATAAATTCTATCTGGCAAAAAAAGTAACAACAGGAAAAAAATCAACAAAGTATGGTAATCACAATTCTACATCTGTATGTTTACACAGCATCTAATTTTCTTTGCTTCTAGGAGGACACTCTTATATTAGATAATTATTCATATATTTCTTAAACAAAATAATACATCCTTATTGCTTCAAGGGCTCTACTTGTAACATATTATTAACAGACCACTGTGATCATCTCTATAAACTAAGAAACTTAGTAACCTTGACATCTTATATCACAATTTATCAATGTCTGTTAACAAGTTCAAGAATCTTACATGACTTTCTTATAAACTGTACATGCGAAGAATTAAGGTTATACAAGACTCTAATCGGAAATCAACTCATCTTGATGAAAGCATAAAGGTTTAAAGTAGTATTCACATTCAGTGAATGTTAAATAGGATAGTGCTAATCGTTTAGATGAGCTCAGCTTTTCTCTAGAAAAGTTGTACTTTTCTCTAGAAATAAACTGCTCACTCATGAAGGAATGGTTCTTTAGCACTCATTTAATGAACTATTTTTAAAAGCTTTTTACCTACAATATTATTTTTACTAATAATGTCTGAAATGAATATCAACTCAGTAATTAATATAGTGTTTGGATATAGTCCAAACTAAAGGCACTAAAATATATTAAATGATCTCTAAGATAATTCTCAAATTAATAGGCTCTCATTCATTCTTATACTTGAGAAGTTTATTCCCAGAGTAGAAACTAATTATACTTTTTAGACTGTCAATTAGCCTTACCAATACCAACCACTTCAAGTGATAAACTTCAATCATAAAAACCAAAAGCAAACCCAATTAACAACTTATCTTAAACAGCTACTAACACATGCTCATATAATTTCCACAAACTCAAAAGCAAAACCATATTAACTTAAAATTTACAAAATCTCCATAAATCTTTTAATGTATTAGCTTTCATCTCCACCAGAAGAGCATGATACATTAAAACTGGATATATCCTTAAAATAAAATAATGTGCTACCTTATTTAGCAAAGTATCTTCTCACTTGGCATGAGCACTCTACTCAACTCCCATTCAAGTTCTGTAACACATCCAGATTTTCTATATTGGCCCTTTCCATTAATTCAGACATCATACTTAATAATATCAAAATTATGTATCATAGGATTTCTATGTGACTGAATAAACCAATTTAAACAAAAACAACTAATGTTATAAAGCACTAAATAAATGCTATCATATCAACATGAAATTTCAGAACACCAGAGAGATTTAAAAAAAAAAAAAAACCTCAAAAAGTCTTCAGAGGAAAAATAAAACACAAAGATTAGCAATCAGTATCATATTGGTCTACTTGAAAGCACCACTTAAAGTGAGAAGAAGGTAGTCATATTTTCAGAATTCTGACAGATAATGATTTACAACTTAAAATTTTATATCCAGAAAAACTAGCAATTTTTGAGGAAAGGTAAAATAAGGATACTGTCAGACATAAAATGTTTGAAGAATATTTACCACCCCTGCAAATTATTTAAAGAAGATATGAAAGGTTTTCAGTGAAACACGTAAACTAAGAAAAATATATAAAAAATATAAACTCCATTGCAAAAAAAAAAATGGAGAAAATTTCCAGGATAATGGTAAATAGGCTCCAAGCTGACAACTGTACAGTAAGCCTAACAGCCCAAAAAGCTTTCTGCACACAGAAGTTGCAACAGGGGGAAATAATTGATTACCTGATGTATTTCACTGTACAGCGAGAAGTTTTAGTCTTAGTGATTAATACATAGAAAAGGAGCCAAATCATGTAGGATCGTATAGACTACTACAAAAAAAAAAAAAAAAAGAACATTCTTTTTCTGCTTATAATGGAAACCCCTGAAGGGTTTTAGACAGAGGAATGAACAATATGATTTATAAGTTTTAAAGAATACTCTGGTTGCATATTGAGAATTGACTAAGAAAGAAATTAGGTTCAAGACCCGCCTGGGCAACTTGGCGAGACCTCATCTCTACAATAAATCAAAAATTAGCCAGGTGTGGTAGGGCACGCCTGTAGTTCCAGCTACTTGGAAGGATAAGGTAGAAGGATCGCCGGAGCCCAGCAGGTCGAGGCTGCAGTGGCCAGGAGCGGCCACTGCACTCCAGTCTGGGTGACAGAGTGAGACTCTGACTCAAAAAAAAAAAAAAAGAAATTAGATGAAAAAAATTAGAAAGGTATATAGCAAAATGTAAGATCAGCAGCTGTTCGATACAGTAGCCTCTAGCTCTATGTGGCTATTAAGCATTTGAAATATGGCTTATATGAATATAACCATGTTTTAAGAATAAAATATAGCCAGGCTCGGTGGCTCAGCCTATAATCCTGCGCCTTTGGGAGGCTGAGGTGAGTGGATTGCCTTAGCCCGTGGGTTCGAGACCCGCCTGGGCAGCAAGACCTCATCTCTATAATAAATCAAAAAATCAGCCGGGCGTGGTAGCGCATGCCTGTAATTCCAGCTACTTGGAAGGCTGAAGCGGAAGGATCGCCAGAGCCCAGCAGGTTGAGCCTGCAGTGGCCGAGAGCGGCCACTGCACTCCAGTCTGGGCAACAGAGTGAGACTCCAACTCAAAAAGAAAAAGAAAAAAAAGAATAAAATATATATCAGATTTTGAAGACAAAGTAGGAAAGAAAAACAAAATATTTCAATAATTTCTACATTTATTAAATGTTGAAATAATATTTTAGATACGCTGGGTCAAATAACATATATGATTAAAATTAATTTTACCTGTTTCTTTTTTAATGTAGCAAAAATGAAATTTTAAGTTACAAATGCAGTTTCCATTATATTTCTATTTGCAAGTGCAGATCTAGATGGTGACTTGAACTAAGATTTTAAAAAGGTGTAAGTGCTAAGAAGTACTGAATTCAGGATACATGTTGAAAATAGAGCCTTCATAACTTGGTTGGTTGAATAAATGTGAGGGGTAAGGAAAGGAATCATTATAATTCCAAAAATTTGGGTCTCAAGAAATTGGTAAATGGTGGCAAAATACACTTGGAAGGAGGAAGTTAAGGATAAAATTTAAAGTTCTGTTTTAGAATCTTATATTTTGAGCTTCCCTGATAGACATCTTATGTTTAGATCTAAACATCCTATGTTTAGAATCTTGTTTTGGCTTCCCTGATAGATATATCCCAACAGACATGTTAAGCCCTGGTCTCAGCATTCACAAATGAAAGAAGCATCATTCATAAGGAGTATGTGAAAAGTTACCCTGGGAGTTGTATAGCATTCAACCTGAATATACCCAAAAGCTTCATGTTGAGCATTCTCTAGGTAGTATATACTCAATAAATGTTGTCGATTGTTAGAACATAATGCAGGCACATACATTTGATTCATGTGTAATGCTAGATTCTGCTACTAAATTTGTTTAAGGAAATATAGCAGAGTAATTAAGAGTTCAAATGGTTTAATCTAATAGCCCAGAATAAAGTAATCCTATCACCACCACTCTAAAGTGTGATGCTCAGCAAAATTTCTAATCTCTCTGTCCCTTAGTTTACTCACCTCTAAAATGAAGACAAAACCTACCTCAATCTAGAAAGATTAAACAAGATAATGCATGTAAGAGAATTATCATTATAGCTGGCACATAGTAAAGGCTTAATACATGACACTGATTAATATAATTTTACAAGAGATGAAATAAGTAACAAAACTACATAAGATTTTTGGAAAGTTTCATTTAGTTCTACTTTAATATTAGAATACACAGTATCTTATCTCAGAACTCCCCAAAATTAAAATCTCTTACCTATAAGTAGTGTTTGGAACATAAACATCCCTGGCAGGAAACTCTAAAATTTCTCTGGTAGGTCTAACTCTACTGTCAGGGTAAAGCTTCACTTGAAGCAGCTCCGGGGTTAGGCAATAATGGGGATTGTCGGGTGCAGGAGAAATGTCTATCTTCAGTTGAGCTGCATATTAAAATATATTATAAAAACAAGGTAAGCATAATAAATAAAAACTCTGTATTAAAAATGTCTTTGGAAGGAACTGGATCCTATTTTTGCAAGAAGTCTGGGAAGAATACTACAGAAACCAAAGTACTATCATCTCAGATCTTCAGATCATTTCATTTTACAAAGTATCAAACTTAAAATGAATAATACAGACAAATGCATGCAAAATAATAAATGCTTATTGAATGAATGAATGAGAAAAAGCAAAGGAAGAAGTGAAAAAGAAAAAAAAATACAGAGAGGGAGGGATCTAGCACAGGAACAAGACAACATTTCAAAGGTTAACTGATTTAATTTTGACCTGGCAGATTTCAAAATATTTTTGCTCTGAAATAGTTTGTTCCAACTATAACATGAATCTATTTTTGAAATATTATGATTCTATGTGTATTTTTTCTCTCTAAAAAAATAACTTAAGCCATGATATTATTCATCATTCTCATCTTATCACACTAATCCATGCTTATCTGAGGGGGATACATTCCAAGACCCCTAGTGATGCCTGAAACAGTAGACAATACAGAATGAATTCATATTGATACTGCTTTTTCTAGACATACATGTCTATAATAAAGCTTAATTTATAGATTAGGCAAAGCAAGAGATTAGTAACAATAACTCATTATAAAATAAAGCAATTATAACAATATACTATAATAAAAGTCACATGAATATGGTCTTTCTCTCTCTCCCCCTCTACCAAGATATCTTAGTATTTTTACACCATGACTGAGTGCAAGTAACTAAAACTGAAGAAAGTGAAACCACTGATAAAGAGAAACTACTGTACTCAAAGTATGATATCTAAAGTGACAAATCCACACCCAACTGTCAAACCACATGATAGTTAATGAGATGAAGAGGACTGACAGCCATTAAGCATAGAAAAATGTATGGACCAGATCAGTAAAAAGAAGGAATACGTAATCACAAGCGATATAACCTACTCGTAAAAATAAGAGTCCTAATCATCTCTACTCAAAATTTTAAAATACCTGTGATAGGTCTTAAAAATAAGAGTCCTAATCATCTCTACTCAAAATTTTAAAATACCTGTGATAGGTCTTAGTCGCCGTAAGACAGAAGACGGCCTTCTCATATCAGCAAGGAATTTGTATAGATCTTCATCGCTTAAGCGGTCTCCTTCCTGATTTCAAAGAGAGGAAAAAGTATTCAATAAAACAAATATACCAGATGGAAAATAAATGCCTACAATGCAGTCAGAATAAAAAATAAAGTTTAATATAATTATGGTTATAAATAACTACCATACCAGCTTATTCTTTGTTTTATGCTTTCTAACTTTACTGAGATTTATAATACTATTGTCTATCTTTTTATCTTATGTATTTATTTATAGTCCATATCTATGCCTATAAGGAAAAAATAAATATAAGAATACAAACATAAAACAGAATAAAAAGTAGACTAATATAAAAATATATGACAGTCTTATAAATTTGTTACAATTTAGTTCATACTTGTCTTTCTAACACCAAATTTCTCAAATGCAAAATATTATATTGGTTAAATTGAAAAAAAAAAAAAGACAACAAAAAACTACTATTAACAAAAAGCACAACTATTCTAATATTAAGACCAAAAAAAAAAAACCCCACAAGGACCTTAATCAATGGGGAAACATACACACACAAAAAACCCATATAGCACAGAATTTTCAATTTAACGTCAATATTTTTTCTTATAATTAAAATAGCTAGGTGTTGATTTAATTCTTTTATTAAAGAATCAATCTTTATATGTTACTAATCCAACATGCCCATTTTTGATATTTTATTATTTTATGTATATTTCATATGCTATCCTTTTATTTTATTTAGTAATGAGTAAATTTAAGGCTACTTTATTACTGTGAACTCAACCTTAAGCCATATCCCATGTGTTCATTATCATAGTCTTAAAAGGGTACGGAATGGATCTCATAATTAATTTTTAATTTCTAAGAGGTTATACCTTCTGCTAATACTTTAAAAAGTAGTTTTATTGCATCATGGCTAGAAAATTTGACCTTATAAAGTATTGTCAGAGACCTAATATGACTAATTATTATAAATGTTCCATCAGTTGCTACAACTATATTCTTACCTTTTGTGTGCAGAAATAACATAGATCTTTACAAAAGGGGGGGGCACATAAAATCAATAAGGTGCCTGATCCTAATCCAGGCGAAGTGAGGGCCAGTGGGAGGCTCAAACGTGACCTGTACCTCGACCACTTATGTACCCAATCCTGACTTGTACGTACCCTACATCTTTAAAAACACACTCAAAAAAGAAATAACATAGATCTTTAAATGGTCCTTAATCATAACAACATACATAGATTATCTCTATACTTAATTATTTTGTCTGCCTAACCTGTTACATTGTATTACTGTCCTCTATTCTCTACTTCCTGTTTCCAAGTCTGGTGGTGGGTGGGGTACAATTCCCTCCCATAGGCTTGGCCATGTGTCTTGCTTTGCCAATAAGCAAACACTGCGGAAAATTGAAAACCATTTACACAGATTAGCTTGTCCTCTCTCTTGAATTTCTGCCACTGTTAGGAGAACATGATCAAGCTAGACTGCTAGAAGATGAGGGCACAAGTTGAGAGACACGGGACAGAACTGACTGATTTCAGTCTTCCCAGTAGACATCCTTCTGTTTCAGTTGATCCCAGTCAACCTCCAAACATATGAATGAGCCTAGCTCACTGCAGCAGTCTTGCTGACACTTCCTCTGCCTTGTTTGTTTATTGTTATGTAACTTTGAAGCAATCAACATCTTATATACTGTCAACAAATAGAACACATGACTTTAAAACTACTGAGCTTGATTTTGCTTTTAAATTTCCGTGTATTTCTAATACTTTTGGACTGACATATTTTAAATCTGTACATAAACACTCATGATTACTATATACCAATTGTGAACAGTAATCTCTTATAAACTGAAAAGCCAGCCTTCTGTGTCTCATTTAGGGGAAACTTGTGCCTTGAATTCTACTTTATTAAATTGTAACCTCTGCTTTTTACTTAATTTGCATTTGCCTGATACATAATTTTCTAGTGTATGCTCATGGCTTAAAAAAAAATTTAAATGTAAAGTGTAAACACTTTCCACTGCTCCATGTTTCCAGTATCCATTTTTTTTTTATTGTTTGTGCTTTGTATTGTTGATTTAATGAGAAATAGTTGTCGTTATCTGTACATATACACATGTTCATATGTCTATTCATATATACACATACATAGATGGGAAGCATTAACTTTTACATATATAGTTAACTTTATGTCTTTGTTAAACAGAAAATCTTTCATAGTGGTATAGTAAAATTAATTAATTGTTTGATATGTGGTTTTGAGGTTTTTTGTTTTTTTTTTTAAAAGATGTGGGGTACAATTCAGGATTAGGTATATAAGTGATCATCAAACAGGTAAAGTATGGGCCTCCCTTTGGTCCCCATTTTGCCTGGTTTGACATCGTGTACCCTTATTAATGTTGTGTCCCCCTGCCACCCCTATCCCAGTGTATCCCGCTACTGTCAATCCCTTTCTTAAAGTATTATGGTAATTGTTCAGGGTCTGCTTATGAGTGAGAACATATGGTACTCTGATCTTTGTTTCTGTGAAAGATCACTGAGTATAATGAACTCTAAATCCATCCAAGTAGCTGTGAAGTCCATGTTTGTCCTTCTTTATGGCTGCATAACATTCCATTGTGTATATGTACCACATTTTTTTTATCCAGTCCAGTTTTGATGGGCTGCACAGTTAGTTCCATGTTTTTGCTATTGTGAATAATGTAATAAACATGCATGTGCATATATCTTTTTTGTAGAATAATTTGAGTTCCTCCGGGTATATTCCCAATAAGGGGATTGCTGGGTCATATGGAAAGTCAATTTCTAGTTCTTTCAGAAATCGCCACACTGTTTTTCACAGAGGTTGCACTAGTTTGCATTCCCACGAGCAGTGTAGACGTGTTCCCTTTTCTCCACATCCTCGCCAGCATCTGTTGTTGTTTATTTTATTAATGATGGCCATTCTCACTGGGGTTAGGTAGTATCTCAATGTGGTTTTGATTTGCATTTCTCTGAAAATTAGTGAGGCTGAGCACTTTTTCATGTGTCTGTTGGCTGTCTGTATATCTTCTTTTGAGAAGTGTCTATTCATGTCTTTTATCTACTTTTTAATGGGGCTATTTTTTTCCTTTCGGCACATTTGAGTTCCTTGTAAATCCTGGATGTTAGGTCTTTGCCAGAAATACAGTTGGCAAATCTTTTTTCCCATTCTGTGGGCTGTCTCCCGGCTCCTTTAATGGTTTCTTTTGCTTTGCAGAAACGTTTCAGTTTGATGAGGTCCCACTTGCCTATCTTATCTCTTATGGCATGGCACCCAGGGTTTTGATGAGGAATTGGCTGTAAATTCCAATTTCCATAAGGGTATCTCCTGCATTTTCTAAGGTTCTTATAGTTTGAGGTTTTACGTTTAGGTCTTTGATCCATTTAGAGTTGATTTTTGTGTATGGTGATAGGTAGGGGTCCTGTTTCAATCTTCTGCATTGGTCAGCCAATTTTCCCAGCACCATTTACTAGGTTTTCCTCTCTCCAATGGTTGCTGGTGGAGGCTTTGTTGAAGAAGAGTTGGTTGAGAAATTGAGGTTTTGCTTCTGGAATCTCTATCTTGTTCCATTGGTCCGTATGTCTTTTCTTGTACCAATACCAGACTGTTTTGATTATTATAGCTTTATAATAAAGCTTAAAGACTGGGAGCGTGATGCCTCCTGCTTTGTTTGTTTGTGCTGAAGATTGTTTTAGCTATTAGTGGTCATTTTGTTTCATTGTTTCCATATGAATTCTTGTATTGTCCTTTCCAGGTCTGAGAGGAATGCTGCTGGTAATTTAATGGGTATTGGGTTGAATCTGTAGATTGCTTTTGGTAGGATGGACATCTTAACAATGTTGATTCTTGCTATCCATGAGCATGAAATATTTTTCCATTTGTTTGTGTCTTCTTGGATTTCTTTCAGCAGTGTTTTGTAGTTTTCTTTGTAAAGGTCTTTCACTTCTCTGGTTAGGAAGATACAAAGGTATTTCTTTTCGTGTTTGTGTGGCTAATGAGGATTGGATTGTACTTTTTATTTGGTTCTCTTTCTGCTCATTGTTGGTGTATAAGAACGCGACTGTCTTTTGCACTTTTGTACTCCAAGACTTTACCAAAGTCCTTTATCAGCAGCATCCATTTATTTTTAAGTATTTTCATCAGTACTTTGTGTTACTTTTTAGTTACCAGTATTCAAAACAGTGTCCAGTACATAGTGATAAATGCTCAAAAAATATCTGTTGGATAAATAGGTATGGGGTGAATGGCTTGTTTACTTAAGTCTGTAACACCAGTTCAATGGTATATAGCAGGCTGAAGAAATGAAAAGAGAGTCGTGGAAACAGCAGAAGTGATGTAGCAGCTGAAGAAGTAGAAAGCGAGGGAGGCATCATATATGCAAGGTTGTGTCACTCCACTAAGCCTATTGCCCATTTCCATAGATGTATCTGGTCTATCACTTTATCCACATGTGGACTTCTCTAGAGGCTTTTCCTACTGTTGACAATAAAAAAACCAGTATCACTTCAGACACTTATCACGGGTTTTTTTTTTCTTCCCATTAGAGTGTCTCAGAGCAGCTGACTATAAAAGCTATTGACATGTAACAGTGAAGGGGGCTTCAAGTAGATTACTATTAGTCAATTCTTACCCTCTGAAGTTATGAGCTATCAGTAAGCCAGCATTTCCTTCCTTTATTCAGAGTAACACCTCAGAAAAAGGAATTCTGAGGCAATCCTTAGCATTTTCCTTTAATCTGCTTCAAGACACATGGAGGGTACACTTCTCCAGTATGTCACACTAATACAAGTTTTCTCCTTATTCTTACATGGTTCTGGTCATCTGGTCATTTATGACCAAAACTGGAAATTTTTTCTGATCTTGATTCACAGTATACAATAAATTTTATATCAAAATCCAATTACAAATACACACATGCATGGACTTACATAAAAAAACTAAGAGGAAAAAGGCTCCCTAAAACAATATTTAGCCTCACCACCTGCAATGCACTATTATTTTTTCTATTCTACTCATTTTTTTAAAACTGGGTGTTATTTATTAAGATAATTTCCACTACCACTAAGGGATCAAGACCAGCATTTAAAAAATAAGGAATTGACTCATGATTTGAAGTGAAGGAAACAGATTTGCAAAGAATAAAATATCTTTGATCAAGAACTTCTTGGATCTATAAATTCACCTCTAAAAATAACACAGACCTCATTTTAGCACAAAAATGCACTACAATCAGCCGGGCATGGTAGCGCGAGCCTGTAGTTCCCGCTACTCGGAAGGCTGAGGTGGAAGGATCACCGGAGCCCAGCGGGTCGAGGCTGTGGTGGCCGGGAGCGGCCACTGCACTCCAGTCTGAGCGACAGAGTGAGACTCCAACTCAAAAAAAAAAAAAAAGTACTACAAGGGCGAAAGCTTTATTCCACATGGATATGGTAATTCAAGTCAGAAATACTTAGGTAGGGAAGACACATAGGCACACACTCACTCTAAGAAAATGCATACACAATATTTAAGAAATGTTACACTATTACAACTGAGAAACAAGAAACACATACAGATGTGAAAGATTGATTTGGATACATGACTAGTCAAGACTAACTTTTTTTTTTTTAGTTACCATCTCACTCTGGAGTGCAGTGGCATGATTACAGCTCACCACAGCCTCAAACTCTTGGGCTCAGGTGATTCTTCCACCTCAGACTCCTGAGTAGCTGGGACTACAGATGCATGCTATAATGTCCAGTTAATTTTTTTATTTTTTGTTGAGACAAGGTCTCATTATGTTGCCCAGACTGGCCTTGAACTCCTGGGCTCAAGCAATCCTTTTGCCTCAACCTCCCAAAGTTCTGGGATTACAAGCATGAGCCACCAAGTCCAGCAAGGTCAACATTTAAGTAAATATAGTGATAAGACAATAGGTACAATATCAATTATTTCTTATTCTTACAGTTGTTACTTTTATTATTCTTTTATTTTTATTCTTAAAGTTCTTAAAATTCCTAGAAATCACATTCATGTACATGTACAGAACAATGATTACCTTTCTGAAACTGAAAAAAATGTATGCACAAACATCCCCCCAGAATTCCTACATGACAGAACAATACCTGCTTAAAAAAATTTGTCACTGTGAGAGTAGCTGGTCGGAAGCTGGTCAAGTTACAAGCATCATCTCCACTTGTTGTCCTTTCAAGTGATCGTCTGCCAACAATACTAGAATTCCTCCTCTCTGACCAAGACCCTTTTCGTTCTAACAAAAAATAAAATAAAATGTTCGTTTTTATACATTTTAATTTTAATCTTAAAGCAAGTTTCAAAACACAGAGAAGGATCCACTAAGTTGAAAGGTATCCATTCAGCATATTGAGTATAGTAGGAGAATTTCACTTCTGGAGAGATTAGTAAGAAAGTACATACCTAAATCTTCTGGTTCTCTTTTTACATCACCAGTATGAAAATAAGTTCCTAACACACAAAGATTTATAGGTATGGCCAAAGATGAGCTACAAAGAGGAACTAGAGAGCTACAAAGAGTAATGTACAAATGTACTATAAAATATTCACTACAATGAAAATTTTAGTCACCATATAATAGTCCTTCATCCTTAGCACTTGAATCTGAAACATGATGATAATTTGCATTCAAAGTATCTGCAAGATTATCGTTATCATGTAAAACAAAGAGAACTAGACTGAAGATTACCAAGGAAATAGAAGACTTGAACAAAACTATAAACAAAATAGACCTAACAGATACTTACACTACACCACATTCATCAAGAGGAGAATACACATCCTTCTCAAGTACTTAGAGAATATTCTCCAAGACAGATATACTAAGGCATAAAACAAGAAATAAAAAGATGGACATCATACAAAATATGACCTCCAAGAAGAGTGAAATTAAACAAAAAGATGGACATCATACAAAATATGGTCTCCAAGAAGAGTGGAATTAAACTATGAATCTATAACAGAAGAAAATTTGGGGAATTCACAGATATGTGGAAGTGTAACAGTATATGTCTAAATAGCTAATGGAAAAAGGAATAATTTACAAGAGAAATTAGAAAATACATAAGATGTATGAAAGTGAAAATACAACATACTAAAACATTGCCAAAACAGTGATTGGGGAAACTTACTGCTATAAATACCTTTATTACAAAGATATATCTCAAATCAGTAATATAGCCTCATATCTCAAGAAACTACAAAGGAAGAGAAACTAAATCCAAAGCAAGCGGAATACAAAAACAACAACAGTAGAATGAAAATAAGGAAAATACAAATTACAAAAACAATAGAGAAAAATCAATGGAACCAAAAACAGTCTCGTCAAAAAGATAAAAATGACAAACCTTTAGCTAAATTGATGGAAAAAAAATAGAAAAGACTTAAATTACTAAGCTCAGGGATGAAAGAGGTGACATCACTACAGACCTTACAAATAAAAGGATTTTATAGCAATACTATGAACAACTGTAGATCACACTTAGATTAGATAATAATTAGATAAATTAGATAATATGGACAAACTTCTAGAAAGATACAAAGTATTAAAACTGACTAAAGATAAAAGACAAACTCTGAATAGACCCAAAACAAGTAAGGAGATCAAATTAGTAATGAAAAAACTTGCCACACAAAAAAAGACCAGGCCAAGATATGTTCACTGGTGAATTCGTCCAAACTTTTAAAGAATTAATACCAATCTTTCAAAAACTCTTCCAAAAAACAAAAGGAACACTTCACAACTCATTCTATGAGGCCAGTATTACCCTGATACCAAAACCAGACAGAGGCATCAAAAGAAAAACTATAGTCCAATATATCTTATGAATACAGATGCAAAAATTCTTGATAAAATACTAGCAAACAAGCCGGGCTCGGTGGCTCAGCCTGTAATCCCACGCCTTTGGGAGGCTGAGGTGAGTGGATTGCCTGAGCCCGTGGGTTCGAGACCTGCCTGGGCAGCGAGACCTCATCTCTACAATAAATCAAAAAATCAGCCGGGTGTGGCACACGCCTATAATTCTGGCTACTCAGAAGGCTGAGGCGGAAGGATCGCTGGAGCTCAGCAGGTCGAGGCTGCGGTGGCCGGGAGCGGCCACTGCACTCCAGTCTGGGCGACAGAGTGAGACTCCAACTCAAAAAAAAAAAAAAAAATACTAGCAAACAGACTTCAACAACACATAAAAAAGATTATATGCCATCACCAAGAAGGACATTTCCCAGGAATTTAAGGTTAACTTAACACTCTAAAACCAATCAATCAATGCAATACCACATTAAGAATATACAGGACAAAAACATACAAATCATCCTAATAGAGGTAGAAAAAATGTATTTTACAAAAATTCAACAGCCATTCATGACAGAAACACTAAAAAAACACTAGAAATTAAAGGGAACTTCCTCGATCTACTAAAGTACAACTATGAAAAACCTACAGCAAATATCATACTTGATGGTGAAAGACTGCATGCATTTGCCCTAAGGTCAAGAACAAGAAAGGACAGCCACTCTTGCCACATCTACTTAACATTGTAGGGGAGGGGCTAGTCAAGACAACTAGAAAAGGAAATAAAAAGCTTTCAGATGGGAAAATAAAAATAAACATATTTTATTTACAGGTGACATGATTTTACATACTAAGAAATCAGGAAGAAACAAACAATAATGGAATTAACAAATTGAAAAACTTTCAGAGTGCAAGAGCAATATACAAAAGTCAATCGTATATGCATCCGTTAGAAATGGGCGTTCTAAAAGCAAAATTAAGAAAACAATGCCACGTAAAATAGTATTAAGAAACAACAAAATAAGCTGGGCTCGGTAGCTCAGCCTGTAATCCCACGCCTTTGGGAGGCTGAGGTGAGTGGATTGCCTGAGCCCGCGGGTTCGAGACCCGCCTGGTCAGCGAGACCTCATCTCTACAATAAATTAAAAAATCAGCCGGGTGTGGTAGTGCATGCCTGTAATTCCGGCTACTTGGAAGGCTGAGGTGGAAGGATCGCCGGAGCCCAGCAGGTTGAGGCTGCGGTGGCCGGGAGCGGCCACTGCACTCCAGTCTGGGTGACAGAGTGAGACTCCAACTCAAAAAAAAAAAAAAAAAGAAACAACAAAATACTTGGGCATAAATCTAACCAGAGAAGGACAAGACTGGTACACTGAAAGCTATACAACATTTTCAGAAATAATTGAAAAGTACTTAAATAAATGAAAAAAAATTCCACACGCATGGATTCAAAAATTTAATATTATTAAGATGCAAATAACTGATACACTGATTTATAGATTCAATGCAAGAATTATCAAAATCCCAATTGCCTTTGTGCAAAACTTCGTAGCTGATCCTGAATTTCACATGAAAATAAAAGGTACCCAAAATTGCTAAACAGTCTTGAAAAATAGCCAAACAGGACTGACTCGGTGGCTCTGTCTGTCATCCCAGTACTTTGGGAGTCCGAGGAGCGGGGACTGCCTGAGTCCATGGGTTAGAGACCAGCCCGGGCAACGTGGCAAAACCTTGTCTCTACAATAAATCAAAAATTAGCCAGGCGTGGTAGCACATGCCTGTCATTCCAGCTACTTGGAAGGCTCACCAGAGTCCAGCAGGTCAACGCTGGGGTGGCTGTGAGCATGCCACTGCACTCCAGCCTGGGGGACAGAGTGAGACTCTAACTCAAAAAAAAAAAAAAAAAAAAAAAAGAAAGAAAAGAAAAGAAAATTAGCCAATCTTGGAGGACGTCCCCCTTCTCAATTTCAAAAGTTACTACAAAGCTAAAACTAAAGTAACACAGTATAGCACCAGTTGACAGAAGGTTAGACATATAGATCAATGAAACAGAATTGAGAATTCAGAAATAAACCCACATGTCTATGGTCAACTGATTTTTGGTAAGAGTGCGGGGATCATTCAACGGGGAAAGAATAGCCTTTTCAAAAATGGTGCTGGTACAACTGGATATTCACATTAAAAAAATAAAGTTGGGCTCTATCTCACATGACATACAATCATTAACTCAACATGATGAGTTACAAACCAAAATGCAAAAGATAAATTGACAAAACTCTTAGAAGAATACATACAAGTAAAACTTCCTGATCTTGGGTTCAGTAAAGGTTTCTTGGATACAACACCAAAAGTATAGTGATAAAAGAAAAAAATAGAGAAACTGAACTTCATCAAAATTTTAAACTTCTAGGTTGCAAACAATATCATCAAGAAAAGAGAACTCACAGACTGAAAAAATATTTGCTAAGCATTGATCAAATAAGGGATTTGTATCCTGAACATAAAAAGAACACCTACAACTCGATGACAAAAAGATGAAAAATCCATGTAAAAATTAGGTGTCAACTAAGTAATAAGCCATTAAAAAATGGGCAAAGTCTACGAATACCTATTTCTCCAAAGAAGATACACAAAGAGCCAACATACACAAAATGAAGCTTAACATCACTGGCTATCCGAGAAAGACAAGTCCAAACTACAACGAATACCACTTTACCTGCATTAGAACAGTTATAACCAAAAGACAGACAACAACAAATTTTGACAATGATATGGAGAAACTGGAAACTTCATATACTGCTAGTGTAATTTTTGAAGGTGTACTCAAGTTGGAAAACAGTTTGGCAGCTCCTCAAAAAGTTAAACATAGAATTACCATGTAATCCATGTTTTCACCCCTAACTATATATCCCAGAGAAATAAAAACACACATCCACACAAAGCCTGTACATGAATGTTCACTACAAGTAGACTGCCCCCAAAAAATGGAGTTATGTTTTGGAGGGCAGGCCCCTTGTAGTACACTCAGAATTTGTTCCTCCAGATCAAACGATAAACCAAAGTTTTTATCTGGAAGTTTTGAGAAGGTTGTGCCACAATTTATGGAAGAAACATTCCGAGTTGTGGCAAACAGATTGTGGCAAACAGATGACTGGTTCTTCCACCATGACAACGCACCTGCCCACATGCATTGATTGTACAGCCATGTACATTGAGTGTACAGTGTTTTTGACCAAAAACAGCATGACCCCCAAGCTCCACCATCCCTGTTCACTCTATCTCACACTGAACAATTTTTTGGTTTCCCTGGATGAAAAACATCCTCAAAGGGAAATGTTTTGCCCATGTGAAAGAGGCGAAACAAACAAACCAAAAAAAGACAGGAGCAATAAAAGGCATGGAAATTGATTAATTCAAAAACTGTTGTGAGCATCACCATCGTAGGTGTACTTACACATAAACCCACACTCGCTCATTCACACTTGGACCATTTAGACACGCCAATTCCCAAGTGCACAGCTCTGGGATGTAGGGGGAAATCAGAGTACCTGAAGAAAACCCACATAGATATGGGGAGAACATGAAAACTCTACACAGACAGTGGCCCACATCAAAAATCCATTTTTTTCTCATCAATGTTGTAACAAAAAACATTAAATGAAATGATGTTATTCAAGGATCTGCTGTAAAGTGCACTTTAAACAGGTGATTGTATGCGAATTATATCTTAATGACATTAAATTAAACAGGCAAAAAAAGAAAATCCTTTTTATGCAATATCATATTGCAGAGTCTACAAATAAAACAAGGCTACATAAGAAAAAAGAAAAAAGTATACATTTAGAGATATTTTATTTACAACACTCTTACCTCCAGTGCTAATTTCTACTTCTGTAGAATCTCTTTCCAAACTCCCAGCACTGCTAACAATGTTCATTAAGTGGATGGCAGTCCAAGCAAAAGGCATGCGATATTTCCCAAGTCTTTGGCAAAATTGGTCTGCTTGACTTTTCAGCTTCTCCAATTTCTCCTTATTCTGCAAAACAAAATCATTACATGATTATACCAGAAAGAAATCAATTAAAGGTTATTTCATACTATATAAAGAGATCAGTTAAGCAATCTCAATTCTCAGCAAAGACGGAAAACACTGCTTTTCAGAGATCAAGTACCAGCACATTCTCCTAATCACTGAACTAACACAACACATTCTACACATGTATGTGCAGTGTAAGGCTTTGAAGTTTCTGTTGGTGATTATGTTACTCCTGAGAAGGAGGGGGAAAAAGCAAGTGCCAAACATGTATTATGTATTACAAGTATTATTTTAGGAAAGGAAGCATAACCCTGCTTCTAACCAGCAACTGGTAACTACAAAATATTCTGGGTTATGATTTGTTATATTTTGTTACTCTGTAAAAGACAGAAGCAAATTTGAAACCGTTTCTAACTTGTAATAACGATGAGGTGGGAGTGAAGAAAACAAGCAGGCCAATGACAAGTAAGCTCAGAGTTGTCATGAAAGAAGCAAAGAAAAACGTATTGGAAGAGGAAGTCCAGAAAGTACCATTAGCAGGAAAAAGCTCAGTTCTTGTTCTTAATCTCAGGAAAATAGAAAGAAAACCTTTTTCTACATTTTGGCAGTTTGTCCAGTATTCCTTAAGCATATCTCTCCTGGCTGTTCCAGTATTGGATGTTCAAAGATCAAGGATCACCAGTATTCTTACAGCTAATTCAATGTATCTGAAATTTGTTATCAATAATTCAACAATTTTTTTTGCTTTTCTAAATTGATCCAAATTCCAGAAATTAGTCATCTGATGGCAAAACAGAGACTATATGTTCAATTTTTACTAAATTCCTTAATTATCTGCAGTCAAATGGAAGCCAAGAATATTTGTTTTGCTAGGAAAAGTTCTATCAATATCACTATTTCGTAAATTTTAAAAACAATTGTCTATGTGTTAAACTTCTGAATTAACTTAGTTCTCTCCAAGAATAAAAGTTATTTTTAATTAATTACTTTTGAGATGAGGAAGATTTTAAAGAATAACACAGCACAAGACACAAGCTAGGTGACAAAGGGAATTTCAAAAAAGGAAGAAAGGAAGTAGGCCAGTGGAAAATATTAACCACCCCCTTACGCCTGACCCTTGGCTTCCCTCCCCCCTTCCCTCCCCCAGTGCATTCTGTGATCGCCAAGTTCAAAGCTGTGCACATGTGGACACTCAATAAATGTTCATTGGTGAAAAAAAAAAAAAAAAAAAAAAAATATTAACCAGCAGCAAAATTCTTTTTATGCTTTGTACAGTACTCTCCCAAATTACACAAGGAATAATGTGGGGGAAATAAGGGCATGACATTCTACCTTGGTGGCATCTGCTTCTTTGAAAATCATATATGGTTCTGCACACTCTCCAATATCTCCTTGTTGTAAGACTTTTTCTAGCTGTTAAAGGCAAAAAAGTAAGGATTAACGAACCTTTAAAAGTCATCCTGGGCTGGGCACTGCGACTGACATCTATAATCCCAGCACTTTGGGAGGCCGAGGTGAAAGGATTGCCTGAGCCCATGAATTCAAAACCAGCCTGGCCAACTTGGTGAGCCCTCATGTCTACAATAAATCAAAAAACTAGTTGGGTGTGGTGGTGTGTGTCTACAATTCCAGCTTCTTAGAAGGCTGAGACAGAAGGATCAGCTGAGCCCAGCAGGTGGAGGCTGCCGTGGCTGTTACCATACCACTGCATTCTAGCCTAGGCAACAGAGTGAGACTCCAACTAAAAAAAAAAAAA